TTAACATGTTATCCATAAGAGTTAACATGTTATCCACAAGAGTTAACATGTCACACACAAGAGTTAACATGCTAACTCTTGTGTTTAACATGTTAACATTTTAACCACAACAACTCTTGTGTTCAAGTTCATATAGTTAATATAGTTAACTGAAATAACTATTGTGTTCAAGTTCATATAGTTAATATTTTAACCATAATATTTAACCACAATAACTCTTGTGTTTAACATGTTAACATTTTAACCACAATAACTCTTGTGTTCAAGTTCATATAGTTAACTCTTGTGGATAACATGTTAACTCTTGTGGATAACATGTAAAATATTATGAATAACATGTTAATATATAATGGATCAATTTACCAATTAAAGTTAATTGTGATTTTAGTTAACTTTAATTGGTAAATTGATAATTATATTCAGTAAACTTTTAACTATAATCCATTATCCGTTAATTGTTATTTGTAATCTATTATCCGTTAACTGTTATTTCGTGTCATATACATGTTAATATAGTTCTCATTTAACATGTTAACTATAATACCTAGCATGTTAATCTTAATTGGTAAATTGGTAAATATAACTTTTGTGTTCAAGTTCATATAGTTAACATGTTTGCCACAAGAGTTAACATATTATCCACAATAGTTAACATGTTAGCCACAAGAGTTAACATATAGCCACAAGAGTTAACATGTTATCCATAAGAGTTAACATGTTATCCACAAGAGTTAACAAGATATCCACAAGAGTTAACATGTTAACCACAATAGTTAACTGCACAGAGAACAACATCAAACACCTTCTCAGTTCAACTGGAGCTTACATAACAACAAACAACAGCAGACACAAGAAATCACCATCACAAATTTGTACAACATTTATACATACCACACCCTGAGTTTATTACTTCTTTCTTGATTTTGATATATATCCAAGCCCCAACATAACATGTTGAGATTAGGGGATCCTCACATCTTGAACTGACCCATAAATACTATAGAAAATAACACGAACCCAAATCAGTTTTAACCCCAAACAACAATTGTCAAACCATCAACAAGTTCAAAAAGAAAATTTCCCGTAACCTAAAATAATTGGAGACATCATCTTCTCTGAAAGTGTTATCAGCAGGAAATATCAATAACAATCAAACTACACAGAGAACAACATCAAACTCCTTCCCAGTTCAACTGAAGCTTACATGACAACAAACAACATCAAACTCACTCCGGTCGATCCTCGATTGACCCGTTCACCTACCTCTGGTTCATGGGCGACAACGGGGACATCAACAAGCTGCCCGAGGGGGTACGAAAACCTGACGGCGACGACGGCGACGAGGCCATGGCGGCGTCGAGCTTGTCCTCGTTGAGGTCGTGAAGGAACCTGCACTTGTTGCCGTTCTTGCAGAACCCCCTGGCGAGGAAGAGACAGGGGTGACGGAGGTAGCGACGGTGTTGGAGGTTTCGAGTGAGGTTAGAGAGAGGGTGGAAGAGGAGATGGGTTTGTAGGAAGAGGGGTAGATCTAGAGAAGATCTGGAGAAGAAGAAGAGGGTAGTTTAGGAATTTTTTATCTTGGAAATTGTAAAGAGGGCTGATTCACATGGATTTTTTAATTTTGGGGAAAAAGCACATTGAAAAAAGTTCAAGGGGCTGGGACACATCAGCAATTTAATTTTGGGGCCTTGAAGCAATTTTTCCTAAAGTTAAAACACCATTTACAACAGCGATTTCAAATTCGCACGACATCTCTGAAATCTATATGGATTACGCAGCAAGAAAAAGTTCCAAATTCATATTAGGTTTTAACTGGCATTCATGATTGATATCTACTCATAAGTTAAGTCACTAGTGAACATATACGTACAATAGTTTACAGCATGGTAACTTATTAAATAAAATATTCATAAATCTTGATAAAATCATTATATAAACATTTATTTTTCAGCACAAAATAAACAGTGAGTTAGACAGAAATAAAGAAACTGAATATCGGAGCCTGTACATGTACATTGACTGATATTATTAGCTACAGAAGAAACATGGGTTTTCCTTTCGTAGATCTTATAAACTAAACAAGTCATCCAAAGTGAGATAAATGACAAATATGTAATCACGAAACCCCCTTTAACTTTATAAAAAGAATAGTTAAAATTCCCAAACTATTACCAACCAACCAACCCCCCCCATCCCAACCTAGGGCTGTCCATCCGGGCCGGGCAAAACCCAAGCCCGGACCCGGGCCCGGGTGGTCCGGGCCGGGCCCGGGCCCGGGCCCGGGCCCGACCGGGCCGGACACCGGGCCGGCCCGGATTTTTTTGTTTTTTTATTTTTTTATTTTTTTAAAAATTTTAAAAAACAATAAAACATAAAAATTATATTTATATAATAGTATATATATATTTATACTCTTATATAAATATAATTATATTATATGTACATATAAGTTTATGTTTATATATATGTATAGATATATAAATATATATTTATACTCTTATATGTATTTATACTATTATATAAATATACTTATATATGTACATATAAGTTTATGTTTATATATGTGTATATATAAGTATACTTATATACTAAGAGAGAGAGAATATAAATATATATATAAGAGAGAGTATACACTGTACACATATATAAGAGAGAGCATACTTATACATATATATAATTATATAAGAGATATAAACATATATAAGAGAGAATATACTTATATTTATATATACTTATATACTAAGTAGCCCAAAGTATTCATGTCATTCAATATATGTATATGTATATATATACACACACACACTGACACACATATACATATATTATACATAAACAAGAGAGAGAGAGAGAGAAATGGAGAAACTTGGTACCAAGTTTCTCCAAACAACTTGGTAGTGATGTGGTCTAATCTTGTCCCTACATCTACATTGGAGTTGGTGAAGAGTGGTTGAGGCTCTATCTTCGAGGTGTGATATAGGGGCAAGATTAGGCCACATCACTACCAAGTTGCTTTAAGCAACTTGGTACCAAGGTTCTCTATATTTCTCTCTCTCTCTCTCTATATATATATATATATATGATAAATATGGAGAACATTGGTACCAAGTTTCTCCATTGAACTTGGTAGTGAGGTGGCCAAATCAAGACCCTACATCATGCCTCGGAGAGAGAGCCTCCGGGCCCGGGCTTTTTGGACACCCCTATCCCAACCCCACCAAAAAGGGCTAGCTCCACCTTTCCCTGCTCCATTTGTATGTCTGTGCTCTCATAAAACTTTAGTCAGAGTTTATATTACCCACAGCAGGTTGAAACATAATGAAAACAACAAGGTAAACAAATCTTTAGGCATTTTCATAATAGTTACCCTTAAAAAAGGTTTAGAAAATTCAATTTCACTCTTCAAATAATCATACAAGATCCGTTATGCATATTACACTACTATAAAAACCAAAGTTAATTAGACTTCAAACATTATTCACCAACTGTGGTGAGTACAAGAAAGGATTAAACCCGCTACTAACTAGAACCTCCAATGGCTTAAAAAGCGGGTCTGGTAGAAGATCCCGCTCATACCAGGCCCACCCGCTATGCTTGTCGGGCTCCACGTTAACGGGTATCTGCTCTGGATTCGATAATGCAGCACGGATGATGATGACAGTGACAAAGTGAGAAGATTTGGAAGCATCCATTGCACGCTGTTGACGACGGTCATAACCTCAATCTTGTTGATATCCAAACCCGTTTCCTCCTTCACTTCTCTTGATGCACACTTCTCAGAGCTCTCACCTGCCCAACAGTTAAGATTATTTCGATATTAGTCCCTAGATAGTTCATATTTTGAGATTAGTCTCCCAAATCATTAAAATTGTTATTAGGTTGTCAAAGTCATAAAAGCTGTTTGGCATTAGTCACCCTAATTAGCATCCACTAATTTACACCCGTTTGAACCGAGAGGAATATTTCTTTAGCTGGAATATTAGTCATACTCTTTCTAGTATAAACCAAGCCCGATTTGGGGGTAAGAGAGCTAGGTTTTAGTGTTTATTTACAACCATCCCCTTCTTCGAAGACAAGGGGGAACTAGAGAGAAGGAAAAGTAACCTTTTGGCGAATTATTCAGTAAGGTAGTTTGGAAACGTCTAAATTACCAAACTTGTTAAGTACCAAATTGGTATATTTTCTTGCTCCGGTGACACTAAGGCATATAAAGTGGGACACGATGCTAACAAGACCTACTTTTATGGCCGGAGCAAAATTTCCAGCAGCTAAACACCACGTGACTTCTTACACTCCAAAACAGTTAAGACTCATTCATTTCAGCTGAAAATGAATTTTGTTCAAATTTGGACTCGAAAGGAATGGGATCAAGTTGGGCATTCTCCTTCCTCCTAGGGTTAAAATTAGATTAGGGCAATTGACATTAGATCAGGGAATCTCTGCAATTTGGGGAAGAATCATTCTCTCCCTCACATGCTCAAAAAACATAGAGGGAAAAGAGAAAGAGGGGAATTTTTGAAGATTTTTTTTTTCACAACGGTTAGTTAAAGACCCCGTTTAACATTTGCAACATAAGCTCAATTAAGCCACATAGAACGCACGTGACGAGTCAAGTAAGGTGATCTCGTTTGAAATGTTGCTCCGGCCAAAAAATAAACATTGTTCTCACCATGTCCCAAATTGTATGCCTCATTATCTCCAGAGTAAAAAAATATACCAACATGATATTTAAGATCAACAAAATATTCTAATATGGTAATTTAGCTATTTTGATACTAACCACCCATAGTTAAGTATTAACCCAACCACCGCTAACAGACTGGATGAATTTTATAACGGAACGGACACTTTCAAACATTTTACATGGTTTGCGGGTGGCAATTTCAATAATTCAGAGAAGAATATCAAAACATGAAAGATTTGGGACTAATGTTGAAAGCCCCATCATATTTCGAAGAAAATGGCTCCTCAACCACAAGAGAAGTCAAAACGGAACAGAAAACTTGTTGAGAGATTTTCATAATAATTATATACTTCAAAAAGACTTGCAACAATTCAAATTTTGCTCTCTAATAAGTTCCTCTCGTAGAAGATCCACTATGCATATTACATCGCCACAAAAACTAAAATCTCTAAATCAGACCTCAAACGTTATCCGCCAATCACGGTGAGCACGAGAAAGGATTAAACCCGCTACTAACCAGAACCTCCAGCGGCTTAAAAAGTGGATCGGGTAGGCTATCCCACTCGTGCCAAGCCCACCCGCTACACTTATCGGGCTCAACGTTAACGGGTATCTGGCCTGGATCTGATAACACGGCACGAACGATGACGGTGACAAAGTGAGAGGGTCTTTGGGCATCCGGTTGAACGCTGTTGACGACGGTCATGACCTCAATCTTTTGGATATCCAAACCCGTTTCCTCCTTTACTTCCCTTGATGCACACTCCTCAAAGCTCTCACCTGTGCCAATAGTTAATGAATCGGGTCACGACGAGAGAATTTTCTAAAAATGTTTAAAAAAAAAGCATTGCAGCGGTTTTTATCGTATAAAGCTAGTTTAATAAACCGTTGATTTTTTTTCCCGACAAATTTTCAAAACCACCCTATTTGAACATTTAATCCCAAAAAACGACATGTTTTGAACTTATTTACAAAAACCGACCTGGTTTCAGCCTTGACGCTAAAATCTGGTCGGTTTTCGTTAAAAAGCTTCTGAAACTTCACGGGAGTTGAACTCCCGTGAAGTTTAGTAAATGTGCTAAACTTCACAGGAGTTCAACTCCCGTGAAGTTCATAGTTCAAATTTTTTTTTTGAACTATGAAACTTCACGGGAGTTAAACTCCCGTGATAAGTTTAGCAGATTTACTAAAACTTTACAGGATTTTTTTTTCAAAAACTCACCTGGTTTCAACGCCAGGGCTAAAACCAGCTCGGTTTTTGAAAATAAATTCAAAAAATGTCTTTTTTTAGGATTAAATGTGGAAATAGGTTGGTTTTGAAAATTCGTCCTTTTTTCCCCCTGGCCATTCGTATTAAATTGACTATAGTATATAGTTTTCTACGACCGGTAAAATTAATAAATATAAAGCATGAAATTTCATTAAGATATTAGATTCGTACATAAAATTTTCTTGATACTTAAATCTCCTGATCTATTCTTGTGGCATCCAGAATATTAATGAATAGTGTTGCTCTACGGAAGAATGATAGTCAGTATAAACAATAGGGCTTTTTCCAATTTGATACCTCAACATGTACACCTTCTGAACTTTAATCCCACAAAATTGTTTTCTGACATTTTTACGCCCCAAATTTCAACGAAACAACTAGAGTACAAACAAAACACGGACTTGAACACGTGCGTCAAAACTACAAAGTTGCAAATAGGAGAAAGTTGGGGGGAGTATATTACCAAACTCGAGTCTGCCACCGGGGAGGGCGAAAGTGTCTTTTCCGATCTCTGACAGTCGCTTTCCTAACAGAACGGAGCTCCCCTTGAGTATGAACGCCGCCACGGCGACCCTCGGAGTCCGGTCACCGCCCTCGCCCCCTTCCATCTCGCTGTCCCGTCACCGTCCCCTTTTCTTTCCTCGGGGCTCTACTTTAACAAAGCCTACATAAAAAGCCCGAGGGATTGGAGTAGAGTTACTCGCGGTGATTCGGGTAGTCTTACTTGTTTGGAATAGAGAGATCCCTACCGTTTGATTTATATCTTACGGTGGAGAGAAGCTCATAAAGTTTGCCTTTCGCGTTACTTGGCGAACAAGGTGGGCTTTCCGAGTTAGGACAAATTTTCAAACCCAACCTGTTTGCCAAAAAATTCTCAAAAAAAGACCCGTTTCAAACTTAATTTTAAAAACCGACCTAGTTGAACAGAAACTTGGTCGGTTTTTGAAAAAAAAATTCCCAAACTTCACGGGAGTTGAAGTCCCGTGAAGTTTTGTTATATAAAAAACTTCACGGGACTTCAACTCCCGTGAAGTTTATAAATTTTTTTTTCAAAAACAGACCTAGTTTCAGCCAACTGGGTCTGTTTTTAAAATTAAGTTTGAAATGGGTCTGTTTTTAGGAATAAAATTCAAAATAGGTTGGTTATGAAAATTTGTCCTTCCGAGTTAATGGTCAAAAAATTCATTTGAAACGATGGTGGGGAGTAGCCCTCTCCAAAAAGCCCTGAGGCCCGAACCTAGCCCGGAACCCGTCCGGAACCCAACCCGTCCTAGGATCGGCGTGGAAATCCGGGCCAGACCCGCTCCGACTCCCGAGCTCCGGGGTCCCCTTGCTGACGCGTCGGCCGCGCCCAACAGTCGGCCGGGCAAACGAAAACCGGGTCGGCCGGCCAGAGCCCGCGAGTCCGGCGCCGCCATTTTGCATACGGTCACCCTTGGTGACCGTTGTGGGCAAAAAACCAGGCCGAGCCGGGTTGGCCCGGCGAAAACGGTCACCAAAAAACGGCTATTTGGTGACATTTGTGACCGTTTTCGCCAAACGGTCACATTTGTGATCGTTTTGTCCGGTCCGGCCAGGTCAAAACGGCTATTTTGGCGTTTTGATCGTTTTGCCCCTTATAATGGTAAAAAAACGGCTATTTGGTGAGGGTTTTTTGGTCATTTTCCTAGGAGTCTCTCTATATAAATAGAGGGGGGTTTTCACTTCTTCTCCTCACACCAAAACTCATCTACTTCTCTCTAATACCCTCTTATATAATCTTATACTCTCTTATAATCTCTTATACTTTCTAATCCTTTCATCAAATAGCTTTTGTATCTGATTATGAAGAGCAAAATCTATCTCCTACCGATATTAAAATGAGTCTTCCTACAACAACAGCTACTCCTCCTACCGATCCTACCAATGGTAATCTCGAATCCGGTGGCGACGAATCTGCACCAAGAGCTCCTAAAATGCCGAGATCCGATGTAATTTTTTTAAGAAGATAGACGTCACCAAGGATGAACACGGTAGGATCCTCACCCAGAAGGCTGAATGTGCGTTGTGCCGCCGGATTTTCCAAGCTCATCATAACAGCGCACCAACCACCTCAAACGCCATATAGAAAAACACAACAAAGGCCAGACTCCTCAAGTGATATCCGACATTCTATGATTTCCCAATCCTCCTCTTCCGCTAGTCTCGGTACTTAGAATTATGACGCTGCCCGAGCCAGGAAATGCGTCATCAGGTTTATCATTCTTAAAAATCTTCCTTTTAAATTAGTAGTAGATGATGAATTTGAAGATTTGTTTAGAGATGGTTTTTATCCCGATTTAAAAAAAAAAAATCTCGTCAAAGCTGTCAACGTGACATTTTAAAACATTCTCAAACGGAACAAGGAAAAATAATTTCTTATTTTAAAATTTAAACTGTAAATTTTTTTTAACTTCTGATATTTGGACATCTAGAGCACAAACAGGTTATTTATGTATCACAGCACACTGGATTGATGAAAATTGGCAAATGTTTAAAAGAGTTGTTTCTTTTATTGCAATTGAAGAGTCACATACTGGTTTTAATGTGGCTAATTTAATAGTTGAAGAACTTACAAAACTATAAATTGATCAAAGAATATTTTCTCTTTCACTAAATAATGCAAGTAATAACAATGTAGCTATAGATTTTCTCAAAATAACTCTGTTATTGCCTTGTCATGGTGAACTTTTTCATATTAGATGTATATGTCATATTTTAAATTTAATTGTTCAAAGTGCATTTACTGAAATTAAACCATGATAGAAAAGGTTAGAACAGTTGCTTATATGCATATTGCTTCTGAACAAAGACTTAAAAGATGGAAACAAATATGTAAAAGAAAAAATATTAAGGTTAGACTAATTCCAAAAGATGTTGACCATATGTGGAATTCCACATATGCAATGTTAAGTGTGGCAATAGAATATAAAGAAATTATAAATGATTTTATAAATTATTATGCTTCTTGTTCTAGCTCTGGTAACACTTATGGAATAACTGAAGATGAATGGACAATTATATATAATTTAAATGAGATGTTACAAGTTTTTTATGATGCTACTATGTTATTATCTGGTTGTTATTATCCAACTATTACTTTAGCTGCTCTACAAATATCGTATGGATGATACTTTTGGAGCTATAATTTTTCAAATGGAGAGTAAATTTAATAAATATTTTAGGCCTATTCCTCATATTTTTGTTTTGGGGGTTCTTATTGATCCATGTTTGAATGATATTGACCTTTGAAGTTTGTTACAATCATTGTATGGTGGACAGATTATAGACTTAGATGATGGATCCACCCTTACTGCTACTTCTTATCATTTAGCTATTATAAATTATTTTCAAACATTATATGATGAGTATGCAGCTAGACATGGTGTAACTGCACAACAGTCTGCAGCTTCGGCGCATTCGAGCTCAAGTCGAGGTAAAAGTGTAAGTTTTGATAGGTATGCAATGGTAGTTGAGCTAACTAGTGGGTCTGGACTTGGATCATCGTTGGAGGTTTTTGAAATAGATGAATATTTATCAGCTTCTTTAGTTAAATATCAAGGAAATGCTTTAGATATTTTACAATTGTGGAGAGTATATGGATCAGTTTCATATCCTATACTTTCCACCATAGTTCGTGACTACTAATAGTACAGATTTCGTCGGTAGTTTCGGAACCCGCCTTCAGCACAGCAGAACGTTTGATAAACGATCACAGGACATGCTTAGATCCGTATATTGTACAAGCGGTAATGTGCTTACAAGATTGGTGGAGGTACGAGAAGTGAACGCAAGGCATCAATCAGATGGCTGGAATTAAAGATAAATTTGAAGAGTTGGGACTAGGAGGTAGATATAAAGATTAAACAATATTCATCAAATTGTAAGTTTTTATTTCTTAACTTTAAATGTGTAATGAATTATTTTGGAAATAGTTGCAAATGATAGTGATATAGGTGAGTAGGTGCCAACCTAGTTGGGATGTACTCATCTATTATGATGTGACAAATTCCGAAATAAATTTATACTTGTAAAAGATTTACTGATTATTAATAAAGAAGTTATTTTTATCATCTTTTATTTTTATAATTTTTTATATTTGTAATTTATGTCATTTGAAGTTATTAATAATAAGATTGTTTTTATTTTTATTTTCTGTAATTTTTTGTGATTTTTTTATATATATTTTAAATTTTAAAGAGATTTTTAAAATTTTAAAAAAATATAAAAACAAACAAAACCCAGGCCGGCACAGAGCCCGGCCCTATCAGGCCCGGACCCGGATGGACAGAACTAGTGGAGAGATGGTGAAATTTACTGTAGGCGTCTAAAAATACCTATGGGTGCCCGCACACAGCTCAAGACAAAGAGAAGGTGATGAACGTCGTTATCCGAAGCAAAGAGGATCATCCGACGTCGACAAGCGCATGAAGCGAATCGGCAAACTGTTGATGACACGACAACGAACCACCACAATGGAAAACACCAAGTGGACCGCACGCGTTAATCAACTCAAAGCGTACAAACGCGCCCAACAGTCAGTTAACACGCACGCATCATTCAGCTCGTGCATGTCAATCAGTGCGCGCGTCAATCAGTTCACGATGGCGTCAATCAACGTACATTAATCAACTCGCGTGGAGCATACAAGTCAACAGTGCGGGTCGGATTGGTCCGACCCGCGCAAGCGCGGGTCAGAGTTGTCCGACCCGCGCAAGCGCGGGTCGGACTGATCCGACCCGCGCAAGCGCGGGTCAGACCAGTCTGCCGCGCTGTTTTGACCCCCTGATGTGTATTTCGACGGTTTTAACGGTTTTCTCGAGATCTTTTCAGTTCCAGAGGTTCTTAACTGGCTTGAGATCATCCCCAAACGTGGTTAGGCTGTTGTCAACTGAAGATAGAGCCAAATCACTTGTTCTCATCCAAATAACCGCATTCGAGGCCTATAAATATGAGTCAAAGGCCTCTATTTTTGAGGGGCGATTGATTATCAAGACGAGGAGGTGCTGCCGGATTGTGGAGTCGAATGAGCACGAATTTCAGCGAAGGCAAAACAGATCTTGGCGAGTTCTTCGGCATAAAGAAGGAGAGTTCGAGAGATCCGACGCCCGTTCCCGTCCGTCCCTTGAGATTAGGCTTGGTCTTAATCTCGAGAAGAGCCCTGATTTCGCTTGGTCGATTTCAGCGCTTCAAATCAAATACTTCCTCGGCGAAGGCGAAGCTCTGCCGAATTTTCCATCAACCGGATCCAGATCTAAGGCGGTCCACGGATAAACCCCGGCACAGGCAAAGATCCCACGCAAGCAGAAGATCGATAAACGATCTCTCTGCGTTTGTTTTGACGAGAGTTGTAAACTTTTGTTTTCATTGTGTAAAAGTCTTATAAAAAGACAATCTTTTTTTGTTTTCATTGTAACGATCGAAGTTGTAATGAATACCGCAATGAATATATTAACTTTCGACGCAAACATTTACATTTTATGTGACTCCATTTTTGGCTGAAAGTAGTTTGTGGCTTTCATGATTGCTTATCACACATCATGTTATATAGACATTTTCTAAAATAGTTTCATGATGCTAATGTGTCTCTTTGACACATAGATTCTTTTTCTTTTGGACTCAATGTATCCAATCATTTTCTTTCGGACTTAATGTATCCAGTCATAATAAGCA